ATCGAGGGGTGGGGGGGGGGGGGGGGGGGGGGGGCAGGCTGTGGCGTGCGTTTATCCAGGTGTGCGTCTTGGGTTGCTTGCGCGCACAGCCGCATTGAGTGTTGCGGAAGCCATTTCCACAAGTTGTGGTTCAGGGCAGCTGGACGTCCAGTGTGTTGAGGACTGCAGAGCCCCGGGCCTCAGATGCACAATGGCAGCAGGGAAATCCTGCTCTCTGCGCGCAGACACACACACTACCACAGTATCGGGCTCCTTGGTTTCACACGTCCTCTTGTTTCACCTGGTGCTTAATTGAGCATTAAGCTTTTTTTAAAAATACTGTATAGATTTGCCACCTCTCCCCCCTCTCTCCCATGGGCAAGTGTCCATGATGCCTTTGGAAATCGGTGTGTTCGTTGGTGTACCCCAAGTTTGCCACTATGATGATCACAGACTGGGGGGGGTCAGGTGCTGTAGGCACGGCAGAGACCGTTGGAGGCCAGGGAGGGGGTGATCAGACAGGCCAGTACCCTGGTTTGTGGGTGTGCCCTCTGTTTGTGATGTACGTTTGATTTTGGTCTACAGCTAAAAGCATTTGCCTTACTGCATTTTTTTTATTTTTAGCACCCGAACCAGGGAAGCTCTTGTCACCTGTTTTCCAAATGATCGCATCTGTCCGAAAGAGACCCAAACGCATAAACGAAGCTGAAAACGAGGGATTTTTATTGTGTGCTTTCATGTGCCTGTCTTACTCGCCTAGAAACTATAAAGAATATTCCTTCACCTTTCTGCCACGGACTTTCGTTTGGTGGGGGAAGAAAATACAAGCTTGGTATAGAAATGGCCTGGTGTGGCTTGGCGATGGGGGGGGATCTTCATCAGAACTTGTGTATCCCCAGGAATTCAGGACGCTGCCGTACATATCTCGATTATCTTGTCGTGTTACTGTGAAGAGCTGCAGCTCTCTCCATTTTCCCCTTTATTTTTCAACAGTCTGAAAACGGGGTCAGTGAATCAGCCGTCTGAACCCTAAAGGTTTCATGAATCCAGATCACGCTTGGGGTTCATGTGGCTCCTTCTTTGACATCTTTTGTTGAGTGAAATACCTTTTTAAACCCCTGTTGAATTTTTTTTTTAAAAAAAGGTTTTTATTGTATACCCACGTGCTTTGCACTCGCCATGTGTGGCAGGAGGAAATTGGCCTCTCTCATTCAGCAGCTTCTTCAGCTGCCTGAGAGAGACTGGAAACCTCTGACAGGCTCTCTTGCCAGTCGTTATTTGGCACCTTTCTCAGGAGTCTGGGCAATGCAAAGGGGGCAAGTCATGTATTTTTCCACTGAGCTCACTGCAAGCATCCAGGTGCCCAGCAGGGGGCAGCATAACATTGTTATAATTGTTTTCCCTTGTCACTTTATGGGCACCTGTAATCAAGTAGCAAATATACAGAGCTGTTTAAAGGACAAGAAAACAAATGAAAAAACCAGGTGCCATCTCCTGCTGCAGCCCAACTACAGAGATGATGTGCTGTGTAGGGACTGGGGTGTAGTGCTGTCAAACAAGTCTCTTTATCTGTATTTTCACATGTATAGCATCTACGTATCTGGTCATTTGGGAGCACAGTGCAACTTCAGAGCCCCTGATGCTAGGCCACACAAACTGGGATTTTGAGGTGGTTACTGGATTCAATAGCTCTTTTGACGTGTATGAAATTTTATTACAGTTTTCCTGTTCGCTGAATTTCCTAGCTTTTTAGATTTGTTTTTCGTTTGACTTATTTTACAATGGAATTTGTTTTAGGTCTGAGGGAAAGGTGAACGTGTTGGTGGCAGTAGTGGGATTTTGGGAACTTGAAATGCCAGCGCGCTCTGCAGATTGTAAAGAGGGCTGAGGTGCAGAGGAAAGCAAGTTGCACCTTTCGTTATGCTTTGAAAGTATGTATCAAACTTATAAAGGCGTCTCTCTTTATTGTGCAGAGCAGATTAATTCTGAATGCAAGAATTTCACTGAGGTTACAGCATGAAATCAGTTGTACAAATTCCTGAACGGTTTTTACATGCAAGTCAAGGGTAGGCTCAGGTATTCAGATCTTGATTCAAGTTCCTGATGTACTCTGTTGTAAAGTTCTATCTGGTCTGTATGTCTGCGTTTCCTTTTTTTTGTATAGTCCTCACAATATGTTATTTTGTTTTATAAAAGCTGATTTGATTGTAAATGATGAAATGTTGCCATTTTTATCTGGACTGGGAAAAAAAGGTACTTCCAGGTCAGCGTCTTAATGTTACCATGCGAACAAACTGCGTTATCAATACGTCTCGGAGCAGATGTGGAGACTCGGCTTTTCTATGAGAAGTGTAAAGAAATAAAATGTGGATTTTGGCGAGTAAAAAAATAGAATAAACCTCCACACAAGTCACTCCCGCTGAAAGTGTATTCATGTCCCTGGACTACTCCAGCAGTGCTGTGCCAGAAGAAGTTGTTTATTTGAATCATTGTGGACAGACTGGAGGAACTGAATTGGGTTGTTTAGTGCTTAATGTTCTAGACTCCTCACTAAAGGGTTGTGGGTTTAATGCTAACAGCTGTGCCACCCTGCTACCTTGTCCCATCCCGAATATTTCAGGCATTATGAGTTAGCTCAGCCTGGTTACACATGTCAAACAGAACATACAGTGGTGCTAGAAAGGAAACCCTTTTAACATGAAAATCAGATCCCCATCATCTAGTAATGTAACTATAACCTGTTATTGTACACCGTCCACTAGAGACTACAGTGTGAAAAGATGGACCGAAGAAGGTGAAATCAATACCACGTCATTGTTTTTTAGCAACCAAGCAAAAAAGAGCAGAGAAGAAAAACAGTTCTTGCATCTTTCCTACAGTATAACAGCTCAGCTTCTCAGTGTCTTTGGCTGAATTAATCAAGTTTGGAATTAATAAGATTAACCTGCACATCTTGCGGGTTTTAGGCAACATTGCTATTGCAGGTGAGGGGAAAGGAATATGTTGCAGGGCAATATGTTTGAGTTCTTGTGCCTGGATATTCAGAACACCTTAGTTGCGAAACCAATTTGTTTGACTTTTCTTTCCACACGGGGGCGCTAAAGCCAACCGCGTTTAGAAGTTTAGAAACCCCTTAAGACCGGCGTGTCTGTGACCTCTTCCACGCACGTTTTCAAAACATTCCGGTAAGATGAGCAAACGTGTTGGTGCAAAATTTGTCCAGAACATGTAGGCACTAACACCTGTGAATCAATTCAATCGATGATTAACGCCCGAGATGTTTAACTAGGTGAGTACTTTGAGTGTAAAGTCTCTTACAGCTATGAGTCGGATGTTTACACAGTAGGCCGGTTACTGGAGCAGAATGAATAAATCGTGCTCAAGAGCAGAGAGTAGCATTGCTCTTGGTATTTGAACCCACGATGGTGGCCAGAGCAGAGCTGTAACCACTACTCCACACTGCAGTCTTAACTGGTGACAGAAACTGGTTTTAACATTTCTTTCCCATTAGAGTCAACATTTAATTAAAGTTCTTTTTTTTTCCCCAGTTCACCCATACTGGGGATTTTATCTTATGTCCAGTGCCACTTAACTGCTGATGGGGTAAAGATGACTAAAATCAATTTTGCATGTAAAAATGTGAAATTGCTAACTGCACATTAATAATTTGTTCACTTTTAAAACATTTGACTATTCTTGGCCCAGAGTCAGCCTTGCTGGCAGAGTTGACACTTAAATTTAAGTATTTAACACAAATTTATAAAGTGTTTTTTTTCTTACTGTAAAGGACTTTGAGAAGCAAATGTGTTGTATAAAATAGTTTTATATATTTATTATTACATATTAATGGTCCACCTGAGCCACCCTGCATGTGTGCATTTACTAGCAATCAGCAGCTTGGGCTGTATGTTTAAGGCAACATAAAAAAAAAATGTACATAACATCAGCAATTAAAAAAAAATTCTGTTCATTTGTAACACTTGCTGCAATTGCAAATAAGGGGGATATTCAGCCTGCACTGATAGAAGCCCAGAAGAAAAGCTCTTTGGTTTTGTAACCACAAAAGCCCTTATGGGATGATAACTGCAGATGAAATTAAACCTCTGTTGTCTTCTGTAATAAAACTGGGATAGAATGTGTTCTCTCATTGGCTGTTGAAAAGATTCGGTTGCGATCACGTTGAACTGCTTGATGTGCCTTATCAGTCTTGCATGACTTAATGAGACTCTCCTGAAAGAGTCATTGACTAGCTTATCGCTTTGTGCAGGGGAAAGTCCATCATGCAGCTGGTTTATCGCAGTGGGCGTTGCAGGCAGGTGCATTGGAACTCCGAAAGGACCATCTTGGCATTAAGCAGTGGATTCAAAACGTGACACAAAAATCCTACCTCTGTTAGTTTTGTTTAACTACATAATGCTTAGACCGTCGTTGAATTAGTCACTCGGAGAAAAGATGGCCGAAGTCAAGGACCCGTGCCTTAAAATCCTGGTACGTTCAAGATTTCCACGTTGAAACCGAGACCCCAGCATAACTGTAAGCCTGTCTGTGGATGTGGTCTAAATGATCGGTCACTGGGGGAGTAGTCTACATGGGAGTTAGAGATCTCTGATGAGAGAACCAGGCAAGGGTTATTCCATGCTGAAAAGCGAAGGAAAGAAACATTTGTTTCAGCTGTGCAGCCTTGTTCAGATGTGAAAGAGGGAAGTCAGCAGCTGATATAGCATAAACTGTAAGTGTGGGAGCAGTGGGGAGGCAGAATGGGCACTCAGGTGGTGTGAAGTGAAAACCTGCACATGAATAGAGAGGATTAGAGGGGAAACGAGTCTGTCGTTGAGAGAAGGGGGAGGTGTGAACCTAGTTTCAGGATATTTTTGGATAATTTCCAATGACAGCCTGCTTTCAGGTTAATTTCCAATGACAGCCTGCTTGAACTCTTTGATGAGGGTGTGGTTGCCCTTGTTTCTGTTTTTAGTAGACTGTATACTGTAGTTAAATATCCTGTTTAGATTAGCGTAATGGATTGGTAAAACATATTCTTGTTAAGCCTAATTGCAAGCTTCTTTCCTTTTCATGGCCTGTGTCATGCCCGGTTGCACAGTGCCACCTCTCTTCCGTGCTCTGCTTTCTCCAGTGAGTCATTCGTACTTCCACAGACTGTCCCCTTTGCAACCTCTGTCCCAGGCGGCCTGCGGGAGGGTGCAGTCGTCACGGTGACCGGCAGGGTCCGGTTGGGAGCTGAGAGGTGGGTCTGCATCGGTGTGATCGATCCGGGTCACCTGGTCAGTGCCCGGTGGGGGCCGCCTGTTTCTCTTGCAGCTGTGCTTGCTAGCTGTCGGCCTGCAGGTTCAGGGGGAGTCAGTTTGGGGCTGTAATGAAAAGCCTGGGTGTCTGTGTTGTTGGGAATCCAGGTCTGGAGACCCTTTCTCTTCAAAGGCTTTTAATTCCTGGACCAGGAGGACCAGCATGTCTCTTTTCTCGTCTTATTGGCTCACTAATTGAATAATTGTTCTACTGATTATTTAAGTGCTTTGAGTGGAGTGTCCAGAAAAGCACAATATAAGTGCAAGGATTCTTCTTCTCCTTCTTCATGTATTCCATGCTGCTGAAACAGCTAAATTGAGATCCTCCAGCAAAAAGCTGGATGGGAGCCCAGGATAATTAACCCTTTTGTTTACTGGAATTAACAGCCAAATGTATAAAGTGCCGAATGTATGATTGAGCAATTTCCGAGTTGAGTCTATGTTAACAATATTGTCAGGAGCCAGTTAGAATGACCCAAGAAGACACTTTTGCTCGTCCTCCGGGTTCAGAGCCCTAGATATGTGTTGTAATGTCTAGGCGTTTATTGCAATAACCTGGAGAATCTCTGGAATTGCACTGCAGTGGGATTTTAACCATAGCCTCAGGAATGATCTCCTAGAGCACTACAACTGTAGAGACCCTGATCAAAATGAAAGGCGTCAGTTTTCTGAAGAGTCTCGCATGTGGTGTCACACGTGAGGTCCTGCCTTGCTAAAAGACCTGGGCTCCTCTCTGCTTTGGATGGCGGCAGCTTCCACCGTCCATATTTGGTCCCCCCTTCGCTGCCGCGCCTTTTCGGCCTCGCTGTCAACGGCGTCTGTCCTCGTGGCCCAGCTTGCTCGCGTGCTGGTGCTGACCCGGCGGGGCTCTCCGATCCCCCCCACCCGGCCTCCCCAGGTTCCACGTCAATCTCCAGTGTGGCCTTGAGGAACACCCTGCCGCCGACATCGCCTTCCAGTTCAACCCGCGCTACGGCCGGCTGAAGAACCATGTGGTGTGCAACTCCATGCGGTTCCAGACGTGGGGCACGGAGGAGCGCAGATATAAGACCGCAGCCCCCCCAGGCTCCTCCTTTAAGCTCACCATCACCGTCTACCAAGACTGCTACCAAGTGAGACACCTCTCTGCCTTCTCCCCTTCTGATTCCCAGTTATTACCCCTGTTCCGCTCACTGCTTTATAAAGACGCTTTCCTGGGCCAGTGATTTATGCAGATCCTGCAGAACAGCTCTACTGAAAGGTCTGACAGAGACCTCCTCTTCCCTTTGTGCCTGACACAACAGATATAGTACATTAGTGTCTATATTTGTTAAAATCTGAAAAACATGTGATGACTCAGTATGATACTTAAGTATTTTAATATGCAAAAAAACAAGTATTCCAGTCCGAGTGCTAGCTAGACCTCAGTTAGAATCTGGAAGGTTATGGTTCTTTTTTCCCCCATCCAGCGTTGATCCCATCTGTTTGATGTTCAAGGTCGCTGTGAACGATGTTCCCTTTCTGGAGTTCAAACACCGGCTGCCCTTCTCTGATGTGAACGCCATTGTCATCGATGGAGGAGTGGAGCTGGAGTCAGTTCGTTACTAACCCCCCTCCCGGGTAAGAGCATGACGTTCTGCCTACGGGTGCAGCACGCTGCATACACTCATGTAAGCTGAATATACAAACACATTGCGATCCAATGTGCACATGTGTGCGTTCGGTCAACACAGGAATTGTGGTGTCGGGCTCATTCCCTGGGGCTGTTGTGTCTTTCAGGTAGTGCGATAGCTGGAGGTATCTGTGCTGCTGGAACACGATGAGCAGGTTGCAGGTCTTCTGGGGTTGGACATCCTGAGGATGGTTGATGCTTTTGGGAAAATTGATTCTCCGAAAACATGGAGAAGATTGGACAGAATCTGTGCAGGAATTAAGAGGGAATATTGGTGAAAAGATGTTAGATCTTGGCGTGTAGGCAAGCTAAGGCTATGCTTTTTCCATCTGGTCATGAATAAAAATAAAAGATTACATGTCATCTCAAGAGGTTGTTTTTTTTGACATAGCTTCAGGTTTCAAAGGGATGCAGTTTGCAGTCCACCTGCACAGCTGTACATAATGCACTGGATTGCTGCTCTCTTCAGATCTCTTTTCTTATTGTTTAATGTGCAGATATGAAGTCTGAACTTTGTGCTGGATTTTGGAGGACCCTAATGTTTATTTCCACGAATAGATTGTCAAGCATGTGCGGAGTTAATCACAGTTCCAAGAAATGATGTACCCACGGAGGTTTAAGAATTCTTTTGCAGTCTCTTTGTTGACGTTCAGGGAGGTACGTTCGATTCTGCAATATCGAAAGAGTGCGAACAATCGCCGCATTTACGTCAACAAGCAATAGATGCTGTGTTAAAATATCACCAAAAGGTACGCTGTGTTTTCTTCATTAAGATGTTAAAAACAAATGACCCATTTACATCACTAGATGGGTAAACTCATTGTCTGCAAATTCCTCACCCAGCACACTGTGGGTGGCTGTCGGAACCTGCTGTTCCGCCCAGGGCAATGCGCCCATAGCTAGTTTGACACTGGAGAGGAGGGAGGACACCTCAGGCTCTTCTGTGAGAAGATATGTACTCATCGTTGGGAGCAATAAATGTCTTATCCAATGTGTAAAAGAACCACGACAGGAATATACAGTAACCGTCAAAATACAGTCTAATTCGGGAAAACACCAAATTGGATTTCAGTACAGGAAGCATGTCGCTGAAAAAGAGATCGCACATGAGGAAAACTCTTCTCACTGGTAGCATTCAAGGAGTCTCTCTAGACATGTCAGAGCTATTTCTGGATTTCAGTGTGCCTGTGTTCACCTGCACACAGCTCACAGCCTCTTGGTAGTTGTCCTGTATACTGTGTGTTGCACTTGGTCAAATTTTTTTAGCGCTCTACATTAACTCCCCCTCCCCACCTTCCCTGAGGACCCTCTGAATAGAGTCATTCTTGAAAACCGATGCCTAACTACATTTTTGTAGCATGTATAGATTCGTCTATATGAATTTATATATTGATCTTTTAATGCCTGAAATCGAAATGGAGAAAGCGTTCCAGATCTTTTTGTGCGATAAATTAAAACCATTGAAGCTGTTCTCTTGACTGGACCTCAGTTTAACATCTAGTCAAAATGATGGCACCTCCTATAGCGCAGGAGCACAGCTTTAAAAAATCTGGACTAGTGAGAAGAGTGCCACCTACTGGTCTACTGACGCCACTAACAGCAATAGCCTGCTCGTCATAAAAAGACCTCCCATCCCAGAGCTGACCAGACTGAGCCACTCTTAGATCTTAGCTATAGTGATTTAGTATGGAACCACATTGCTGCCATCAAAGGAAAAAAAAATAATGTTATCTTGTAATTACGACAAATTATGACCTCATAATTATGAGATATTTACTATATCTTAATTAGGAGAACACTATTGCTTATTTTATGTGATAATCACACAATAGCACAATTGCCATATGATACCTGCATTATCATTAATTAGCTTTCAGTTTGATGCAGTGGAATTGATTGCACGGTAGAGTCTTTCTTGTCACAGCATAAGTGTGACTGTCCTCATACTTTAAATGATGAGGTTCACATTAGGTATAAACTGTACCATTTCATGATGAATAAACTCCAGTGGAAAGTTAAGCCCATGCACATCCTGTCCGTAACACTAAATCCAAAATTCCAGCTCGGCTATCAGGAGCTTCTAGGTGCTGCACAATGTAACAGGTTGTTGATCATTGGTAATTCCTAATTATGGGATAATTTACTATCTCGTGATTATGAAATAATGTACTATTCTTATTAAAGCGAAAGCTATTTTTTCACATTACAGTAATTGTGCACTATGCATGCTTGATTTTATGATGAGGTTAGCATTGGGGTTAAGAATTGAAATGATTTGATTCAAATGTATTTATGCTTCTTTCAGATGAGAGGGGGAATTTGGCAGCTTTGTATACAGAAGCCTGACGAAGAGCAGAAAGGTATTTTCATCCACTTTACCCCTGATTTCCCTACAGCTGACGGAAATCCGGGCTTCCGTCAGCTACTTTCATCACGTGCAGACAGACATGACCCTTTCAGGAATCTGTTCCTATAACAAGTTGGACATCCTACTCCCAGTTACGTTTTTTTCTTAATTTGTGCCTGAAGAATTGAGAGCAAACAGACTAAATCCTGCATCATGCATTGAACGATCCTGTGGCTTCAAGAATAACGAAAAGTGAACAGACTTTAATATGGAAAATTGTTTATTTATATTTTTCAGTATTTCACACGTACACCATTTTTAAATATATATATATATGGAAGTAGCACTTCATTAACATGGAATCCCTTAGACCGTCGGTATTCAAAAGTCTTATCAAGTAAAAGTAAAGCTGTTGAAAGGATGTTTTCTATTAGCCAATATACAAGAATAATTAAGAGTGGCTTGTTTCTAAAAAGAGCTTGTGAAACAGACTTTAGAATATAATTTACAGAAAAAAATATTATAATACATAATTCTGTGCATGAAAGCATTTCTATATACATTTATTTTTATACTCTGGTTCTATAAAAGTTAAGTAGTACAAGTCCTTCTGTCCATTTTTATCTGATATTTATTTGCATATCCTACATACAAAGGTGTTGTGCAGCTCTCCTCTAACCCAGCAAAAACAAGGCCCTGGAGAGAGTTTGTGCCATAGACACATACAGTACCAACAGGCTGACCAATGTCCTGATCCAAAGATCAATATCATTTTTTTTTTTAAAGTCAAGCTTCAGATGAAGACTGAAAAGACCCTTTCACCAGTTAGGTAGCATACCATGAAAACGCAACGCATTTAAAAGACATACACTGATTTTCCATTCGTGAACAGCTATCATTGTTTTCAACTTAATCAGTTAATATACAATGATGCATATTCCAAGCACTGGTTATCTTCATTTCAATGTTTAACTCCACTCTTCATCAGTGTTTAAAGGTAATAAAATAACATTAAAAACATGAACAAAATTAAATACAAAATACCATATTAAACTGCAATATTATCATCTCTTCCTTATAGCTAGACTATCTTATAAATACATTAAGTTACAAAATATATAATCTTTCAGTAAAGAATGCAGAAGTCACTTCATTTTACACATAATCTGTCGTATTTCTTCATCTCAGTAACTCAGTGCTGGAGATCTTTGGTCCTGTAGTGATCCAAGCTCCAGCTCTTGTCTCTCATTTCTGAAACACTGCTCCGAATATATCTTCATGATACCTCTTCTCGGTCTGGAAAGAATGAAATAATCCAGCATGTTAAGGCACTGTCTTCACACAGTTAACCCAACAGCATTTAGAACTCGGAGAATACATTTAGAGTAAAGGTATTGTACGAAAACAATTTAATGTGCACATTTTCAGTTAAAAAGAATTGAGCTAAGGTTTCCTGCTTTGTCATGTACTAAAATTAATGAAAACTGTGAAAATCGTAAACTATAAACATTATTCTGAATGACCTCAACCAAGCACTAGTTTCACTGCATTGTTCGTGAACGTTGAGCGTTTTCGTGAGATAATCCCTGTATCAGACCATTGAGCCTATTTACAGTAACTGCCCCCTAGCTTGTGTTCTTCACAACTTGTGCTGCAGGATAAAACGATTATAAGCTGGTTAACATTTCTGGTTGCCAGAACTTGGTGTCTGACATTGTTTGTCATGAAAGCAGACCACACATGGCAGTCTTTTCTGTTAATCTCATGTTTACCTGGTGAGCTCTTACTACTGACTGACTGACTGATTTATTTGGCTGATCCTTATACCAAAGCAGCTTACATTTTGACCCATTTACACAGCCGGGTGGAGACACCAGATGTCTCACCTGGGATTTGAACCCACAAGCCACAACTTTCCAGCGGGGAGTCCAGAGCCCCTGCCCATTGCACCACACTGCTGGGGAAAAGTCGGGGAGTCTCCCGCTATCCTCACCTTGAGCTGGGAAAGATAGTTGACAGCCTGCTCCAGACTCATGCCCAGCTTGTGGGCAAGGATCTGCGCGAGAGTCTCCTCCACGTCCCGCGCCATCCTCACGTCTCCGCAGATGTAGATGTGCCCCTGCTGCTGATGCAGGACTCTGACCACCTCTTCGGACAACCTGTCCCGCAGCACGTCCTGGACATACACCTGCACAAAGAGCACCGACAGCGTCTTCAGCTCCTGGGTTACAGCGCAGGACTGCGCACACCAGAGCAAAGCAACAGTTCTTGCCAACGGTGGAGTCGAGAGAGCACAGCGTTACAACGTGTCCTCCCTTTCTCTTAATTGACTCGATGGCTTCGATGATTCTGCCATTGAAGAGAATTACAGTAGAAATGTGCTCTAACAGTGGTTCACAACCCTGGTCCTGAGGGACTCCACAGTGAATTTAAGATTTCGTTCCAGCAGAGCTGTATGGGATCAACAATCTGCTTGGTTTTCCCTTTTTAACATCCCTGTGCACTTATTCTATGCTTCCAAAAATGCCCTGCTGTGGGTGTGCTGTTATAAAAAAAAAAAGATCAGGATGGAAACTCCGTCCTCAGCTCACAATTGAAATGGTCTGCACAGCTCTTGTGGTCAATGAATGGTTAATTGGCCACAGACGCAGGTGGCCCTGGCACTGTATCACACTCCCCAAATAATAATAACGTGTGTCTTCTCATGTACACCAGGAGTCAGTTAGGTGTGAAACCCAGAAACTGGTTCAGGATTGATGCTCATTACCAACCCTCTGCAACATCCTAGGAGCTGAAAAAGAGTTCTCCACAATCAACAAGCAACCCTGTAGCTGGCTGCGTCTGGAGCTCAGCTGGAACACACAAGGGGTCCAGCCAGGAGCGAGCCAGGGCAGAGGCTGGCACAGGCCTGGGGGTGTTGGCATGCCACTCACCTTGGGCTGCCCGGGCTGCCGGGAATAAGCAGTGATGGCGTCCTTAAGGATCCCCCTGCGCTTGAGCTCCAGGGTCTCCTTCCGGTACAGGTGGTCCGTGTTGGACTGGCGGCAGCCGAACACCAGGGTCATGGGCGCCGCTCGGACCCCTGCGCACACAGCAGAGGGAGAGGAAGGTGAGTGCACCCGTCTCGCTCTGATCCCCCCTGGCCATCCCCGGGGTCCCCGCCGGCCAGTGTCGGGGTGACCTGGGCGAGCGGGCGCGGCGGAGCCAGTTACCTCTGGTCTCCAGGTCATGCAGCCGCTGCTGCCAGAAGCTCCGGAAGGGCGCGATGCCGGTCCCGGGTCCGACCAGAATAGCTGGAGCGGTGGGGTCCTCAGGGAGATGGAAGCCATTAGCACTGCGGAGAGCAGGGAGCATAGTCAGCACAGAGCTTCTGGGTGCAGATTCAAGGAACACACGGGGCTGTTTATCACGCAGAAAACAAAGATGCTCAGGGACTTAATCTTTGAAAATAAACATCATTTTTGTTAACGGAACAAGGAGCGCGACGCCTCCTGTCTCTTTGGGGCTCCTGAACAACCTGAGGTCGGGATTCAAAAAGCTCCCAGCCCCAGATCTCAGCTCAGAGGGCCGGGGCTGTCCAGCTGTGGGGTTTTACAGTGTTTCAAAAAAACTCTTGCTTGTGTTTCAACGCCCGATTTTAACGCCAGCGTTAACTGGAGTGTTTCCGGGTGGGGTGCAGTACCTGCGGATGAAGCAGGGCACCACGTCTCCCTCCTTGATGGTGTCGAGCCAGGTGCTGCAGACGCCGTGGTGCAGAGGCCCCTGTCCATCTGAAACACAGGGCAGGGGGGGGGTCACACGCTGGCACAGGGGAAAGCGACCCAGCATCTCCCTGTGGCTCCTATCAGTAGCTGCAGTTCTAACTAAGCTAGCAGGGACAGCGCTGCTGGTATCGCGATTATGCAGTGTTCGAGAGATCGCCCTCGGAATACCTCTGGTATTGTAGCGGACAACAGCCACCGTGAGATGGATCTCCCCAGGGTGGCGATCCACGGAGGAGCTGACAGAGTAGAAGCGGGGCTTCAGCAGGGGCAGCTGGCTCAGGAGGAAGGTGGTCGGGAGCTGCAGGGAGGGGAACTCCTCCAGGACCTCCAGGAAGGTGGGGCTGTTGAATGTTTTCCAGGTGTTGTACTCCTTGGTGTCCTGCAGGGCAACGCACAAGCACAAGATTGTAAGTAGATATCGCTTTGGTCAAAAACACAGCTCTCCCTGCATGGACAGGTTTCTTTGTACTTTAGTCATTATTCAGACCAATACCTTTACTTTCATGGTCAACGTGAAGTGTCTTTCTCTTACAGTGATCAGATGCATTATTAGAAAACGTATTTTGTTCTGTGGACTGAAACAGGCCTGCTGTAGTTTATGTGTAGTAGCCCAGGGACCACACAACACTTCTTCAACACTTGATTTTACCATAGCAACACAACAACAGCTAGTTCTTGTAATTCTGGGGAGTTAATATCTGTTTCAATGCCTTGCATACTGCAAAGCCAGGACAATAATGAGAGGTGCTGAGTGCCTATCCAGCTGGTGCCGATGCCCTGTGACACCTGTGCCCAGGTGTGTTTCCCCCCCTCTGCCCCGCCATGGCGCACCTGTGCCAGAGTGAGCAGCCGCTCCCTGTGGCTGTCTTCTGCGGCCAGCTGGGCCAGTTTGCGGAGGAGGCTCTGGGAGGGCGGGGCGGTGATGTCCAGGAAGTAGGTCAGGGCCTGGGACAGGGTGCATGCTGGGAAACGGGTGTCTGTCTCCCAGTCTGCGGCGCCCCCTGGTGAAAAATACACAGCATGACAAGTGAGCAAAGGGACGATATAAATTTTATATATGGGTTTGACAAACACAAAATGTTTAATATTAGTTGCATCCATAAAAAAAGAAAGAAAGAAGCACAGGGCTCCTTCATAAACAGAAGTTTCTATATTTTAATGAGCCCTTAAACTGCACAGATACACAAGAAACTGCATTTCCCATATTTTCTCCGAAAGATCTGTTCCCCTGGTTTCTTCATGAACTCTGGGCCACCCATACTCTCTGAAATGTGGGGCATTCGATGTGTTCATTTTGGACAGCAGTGCCGCCCTGGTTCTGCTCGGTGGGCATCTCAGTTCCGGCCGGGCCACACTCTTACCCTTGCTGGTGCTGGGACACACCTCCAGGCGCAGGGTCTGGTTGGACGGTGGCGCGTCGTTGAGGTGCTCGCTGACGCCGCTGACCAGCTGGGCGCAGTTTCCTGGGAGCACCCCGATGTGCTCTCCGGGGAGGTAGCGCAGATCTTGTGTCCCATGCCTGACCAGCTCCACCAGGATAGTGGAACGGCTGAAAGAAAGGAAAGGGGGTGAGCCAGTGATTCTCACGCTGCTGGGCACTCTGGGAATCCAGCTGCTGACAAAAGGGATGGGCGTCTACATCCATGTGAACACTGGGGAAGAGTAATTCTGAAACGTCCCACATGAGCAAGTTCGGTCTTTATACTAAGACACAGGGACCACTTTATGTGATCACCGTTTCAACATACTACCCACTTGAAAATATACGATTGCAAGATTCCAAATGGAAAATGCTCTCTTGCTGCACATTTCTGATGGTACTGAATGGAAATGTTGAAGACTAAAATACTACTGATCTCTTTCTATTGTATATTGCCAGAAGAGGACATTCGGGGATTATTTAAACATCTAGATGACTATGATCAAAATATAATATTGTACCTTGAGTGCAGACTCTGAAGATTGTGTCTCTTTTTCAGTTTCATGGCAAAAACGTCCTTCGAGTGGATCGTAGAAAGCGCTTTAGAAAGGGGACAAAAGTCAATTCAAAGTTAAAGTGCGAGTTCGTATTCTAAATGGGGCTAGTTCTGTAAAAGTATGAAATTCACAGATGTATAGACCGAGACATAACATGATACAATTTAATATTTTAAGTGGTAGTTATAGCTCAAAGTAGGACTCCATGACGTTTGGCTTTTTCTAGTTAACATCTAAATATTTAAAAGTGTAAAAATGCTAAACTTTTATGTGAGAGGATCTTTCTCGATGTATTCAAGGCACCCTGCCTAGAGCCTCCCACCTTCCTGCGATTCATCCGAGGGCACTGCTCCTCGCACCCGGGAGACTCACCATTAATGAGGTCCAGCGTCTGGCTCTCGTTTGCCAGACGGTACCTCTTGGGGTCCCAAGTGTTGCTCAGCCGGTCACTGCCAGGGAGCTGGATGTTCAGCTGGCCACGGATATCAAACGTCTCACAGGCATCCTTTAACCAAACGCACGCAAGAGAGGGAATTTAGGCGCACGTCTTTAAAAAAGCGCTGACAAAGACATTTCGACACGGGGATACAGTCTAGCCTCTAGCGCAATGCCTTGCCCAGCGTACCTTGAAAGCTACGCCAGCCCAGCTGGAGAAGGCCTCCTCCTGACCGCCCATTTCATCCCCCTCTCCAGTGAGGGTCAGCCGCTGCGCCCCCAGGTCTGCCAGCTTCTTGTCCACGGCGTGGGCAAACGCGCAGAACTGGGGGTACATCCGCGAGCCCAGGCCAAACACACAGTACCTGCGGAGACAGAGAGTGAGCACCACTGGTCTTCAATCTCCTGCCAGGAGTGGATGCTGGAGAATTTCTGACCTGGCAATGCATATTAATCCCACAACTAGCAGCCCACAAACAGTCTAGCTACCTACCTCAACTTGTTTTTCAGACGCTTCAGGGCGAACAATGATTTCTTGAAAGTCTGTTAAATAAAAGAAGTACATTAATGAATATCCTACACAATGTATCGTATATATAATGACTGTTTTAAAGTTATATTGACAGTGGTGGAGTAATTGCAGTCCTGAGCACAACAAGGTGCCAGACAAGGTTCAGCATCAGCCGACAGCCTTCACAAATACACACACACACACACCTCTCCATTCCCCGGAGAATCTCCATTTCCAAACGTGCTTGTGACAATGACCAGGAAGGTCTCCTTCTCCAGGTCAGTGAAATCGTAGTCCTCCATGCACAGCACCTGCCAGGAAAGACAAGGTCAGCACCAGATACCACTGATCTTTCAGAGGAACACTCCAGCCCCTCGGCCAGAGTCTCACTACAGCTGTTCTTGGGCTGATGTGTGCCCATCGGCTTTCACTGCATGCAAGAGCACTCGCTCAGTCTTCGGAGGCGATTCACACTCCTCCTCCATGCTCTCTGCACTCGATAGCTAATAACAGGTAAGCAGCATGGGCTTAAAGTTAATAACTACTCGTAAACTTGGAAAGGTTTCCCATTCTCCTCTGCTGTGCTGACTGTACGGTTGGTAAGGAGCCTCACCCTGGAGTTAAAGGCGCAGTTCAGCATGGTGTTGAGTTTCTTGGCGAAGGTCTCGGATTTGCCCGTCTCGGTGGCGTACAGGACGGTGGCCTTCACCCTGGCCGCCATGACCTTGCGCATCAGGGAGGAGGTGAAGAAGACAGCTCTGGGAATGGAGGTAAAAATGTTCATCAGGCTGTGATTAGTCTTGTGTCCTTCCCTTCCCTGGACACACAGTCCCACCCTTCTCGCTGCAGCTCAGCTCTTCTTTCCAGTCCCCTGCACTGTGTTCTTCAGCAAAGGCCTCGGCAAGACCTCTGTCTTTCAGTGGATCGTTCAAACCCTCACTAAGACGAAGTGCAGACGTAACTTCAAATTAGATTGGCTTGTTGGCTCAACCCGCCTACCTGAGGGTACAGCAAACACGCTGCCTGTCTCCCTTGCCCACCTTTTGATTCCAAGGGATGGGGCAGGGAGTGGCTTCAGACGTGACAATGGAGGGCTACGGGCCGAGGAGAGGGCCTGACCTCCTCCCGAACCTTCACTGAAACCTCCAGACATCTTCTCTGCCACAATGTAATTACCTGGCTAGGTCCCGGAAGTAGATCTTCCTCTTCTTTGGTCTTTTCTGTTCATCCTTCCAGACATGGACCGTCATGGGATCCGGCTTTAAAAAACAAGATTGTGGAGTTATGCACGAGCCCAGCTATATGGAAGAAAGAGGCCCTCAGCCTGTCTGTGGATACATCCAAAATGCAATGATATGTATATCCAGCATTTTAGCCTACAACTTGCTTGGAGAATATAAGGGTTTTTGATTGACTTTTTTTTTAAATCACAATGGTATTTACTGGTACAGTTATTAGCTCAGTTACATCCATCCAAATCCATTGTCTAACTGCTTGATCCAATACAGGGTCACAGGCACCAGGCACAAGGCAGTTGCAATTAAACCTAGAGTATCTCACAGGGAATTAGCCCCTGTTACAGTAATAAGGCTGATAACCCTATATGAAAAGGTGCTGTTTTTGCAGATGATACATGCTGTTTATACCGTACTCTCCTGTGCTGTGCATTATGCTTTTCAGTTAGCCTTCCCTTTACAGTCTACTAGCACCCATAGAGTCCGCAACCTTGGTCCTGGAGAGGCACGGGAAAGTTTAGCTGATTTTGTGACCTTAAATAGTCAGGGAGCAGAGATCTGGCGTGTTAGCTTCCTCTATCTGAGGGACCGATCGATACAGTGAAGTCACTGAGAGCTCAGCAGGAGCGATAACCAGAGAACACTGGGACCCTTCAGATCCAGGGCGGCTGACCCCTGGCTTGGCCTGGCCGCCCCCTGCATCGTCCGGCAGACAGCCCCGTACCTGGTAGTAGTAGAAGGGGCTCAGGATGTAGCTGACCATCTCCTGGTGGAAGACTGGCGTGAGGCTGCCGGACATGGGGGGCACCAGCCACACCCAGTCCGCAGGACAGCCCCCCCGCAGGCGGAACTCGTTGTGCATGTGCTTCATGAAGGACTCGGCGGCCGAGTGGTGGTCCATTATCGTCACGTTGTGCTTCTGCAGAGCGAAGACAGGGGAGACTGAGGAACAGGGGCTACATCCTCCGAAGAGGCAAGTATCACGCTGCGTTTCGCCAGGTTTACGGGCTCGCACGACAGCGCTTCAGTTTCTGTTTTTCGCTCCGAAAAATGTAATTCATTCCCCAAAAAACTAATCCTAACCCGTGAGCGAATTAAAAAAAAAAGTTAATTTAACATCCCTGCCCCCACACACAAGGCACTGAGGTCGCCACAGGCTTAATTCCCAAGTTCAGACATGCTGAGCTGCACCTCACTGCCGGGACACTGAGGGTGAGCAGTTCCCCGGCAGGCCCTGGCTGTGCCACTCCTGGGGGTGTCAGTCACCACGCACCCGCCACCGCATTCCAACGGGCACTGTTCACCGCAATCCATCAATTATCCAACCTGTTTTCCCCTTTCTCCCTACTTAAACCTTTCTGCCACACCTCTCCATGCTCACCATTGAGTTTCACTCACCAGAGCTGCTCCATTCGCCTGTTTGCCTAGCAACGTTTTGGATGACGGGTTCTGCCTCACCCCTGACTACGGACCTGCCTCACGATTCGGATTTGGAAATCTCTCCCGACTCTTGATTTAGCCTCCCCATCGACTACGCACCTGCCGCCCGGATCGGATTTGGTTTTCCGGACTCTGCTCTCTGGATTACAGATCTCTGCCCTCCTTCTTGACCACGGCATTGCCTAACGATTTGGACTTCGGTAACGGAACTCGCACTCTCTCTCTCTCTCAAATTTTCACGCCAGCCCCGCACAGGGTCCGAATCAGCCCTGCTGGATTCTGACAGCCGGGTTCGGAATGACAGCGTACCTGGAAGCTGTGAATGACAGCGACGTTGATGGCAACCAGAGCCTGGTCCTTCCACAGGGAGGAGAGCCTGTGCGTCTCCAGTCCCATCCTCCTGCCCACATCCTGGAGGAGAAAGAAAGCACGTTGACTCCCGTTGACTGATCTGAGCTACCGCAGCTCAGGACAAAGGCTCGCACAGTTGGCCCCCCACATAGGCACAGCCCCCTCTGGCAACCATAGTCCCCCACTCGCTATTTTCACAACAGGAGCGCAGTGGCTTTGAGCCGGCGAGGTGAGGGAAATGTGCTCATGCTGTAGTAAAGCTGAGCAGGAAAGAGGCTCACTGGGGACACCTGCAGGGAGTTAGCAGCACTCTCCTCAGTGCCTCATGCAAAAGCACAGAAAACCTGCCATGCAGAAAGGTCTCAACCTTCTCCTTAATTTAAGCATTAATTCAAGCGCGCCTGTGTGCATGAGTCTTGCATATTGCACCTATGCTGTGCTTACTGGCTGGTAAAAGCTTAAAATACTCCCCCTCATTTTTTAGGCATCCTCGGTCAGATCATTGTAATATAGGATATTTTAAAACCTCACACTGTGCTCCGTTGCTCAGTCTGGCTTGTACCGAAAGGGCCCTCACCTCCAGGATATTGTAGCGGTTGGCATCACAGAAGTCCCTCACGCCGATCTCGGTGCCCATGTACCAGCCGTTGAAGGGGCAGGCGGTGAACTCCAGGCCCCCCACTTCCAGAAGCATGTTTGAGACAGCTGGCATAGCGTACCACTTGAGGTCCAACTCTTTGAACCACTCGTACCTGGGGGAAGGAAGGGGAAGAGTGGGTCGGGCCTGATTCCATCACATCAGACAGGCAGAATAGCCCGCACACAGGACTGATGCCCGCTGTGTCCTCCACATGGCAGTGCTGCTGCTGCAGACATTACTCAGGACCACGCTGTCCCGGCAAAGAAGAGAAAACATTGCCCATCTAGAAAGGTCCAAGGAAATTGTTTTATTTGTTTTTCTCTTTGTAAAGCGAAGGGAAAACATGACACCTACTGTGGATGCTCCATTGGGACCTCCAGAATGAGCTCCGGGGGGATCTCAAAGAGTTCGGGGTCCTCGCCGTTAGCCTGCAGCACCAGGGGCAGCACGTCGAAACGGCCGTATCGGGGCTTCCATCCCAGCTGAACACACAGCTGCAAGGTGCGGGAGAAACAGAGAGAGAGTCGTTTGTCAGCGGAGCAATGACCTTAACGCTCACCTAAAAAAAAAAAAACGAGTCTTTGAATCCTGCAAAATTGGAAGAGTGCAGCAGTTCATTCGAAGAGGATGCTAAAATATTTCAGCTTGGTGCATTTTGTTCTTTAGTTTTTGTTGACGTTTTTGGGAGCCCACACACGCCATTAAGCAGGAACTCAGATAAAGAAGCGCTGCCCGATGCGATCTCCGCGCCGGCCGTACCTCTGTGAACTCCAGGCTGGTGGGGTCCCCCAGGACTGTGCCGTCGGGCATCTGGTACCCCGCGTACTTCACCAGCTGGCCGTTCCACACCCGGAAGTCATGCTGCCCGTCGCTCCTCTGCGGGAAGACCGTGATCGCGGACCTGTGCGAGAAGCGAACACGCAGTCGGTAGGAATCCCTTTTTACTGCAGTGCAAAAAACGCCGTCAGCCTCAGGCTAGACGTGCAGACCTGGTACTGCGCTCCTGCTCCTTAACTTGGCGCTTCACGCCTGTTCTCGGTCAAGACCACCAAACCCGCGGGTGAGAAACAGGACGTGTTCTAGAGCACCAGTCTGCCCTCAGTGGGACCCCAGAGAAAGGTCAGAGACCATGATTAGGTGTTGGGATTAGCTGCAGTGCTCACCTCAGGTTTCCCTCGTTAGTGGCGTACTTCAGGTGATTACACAGGAACTCAAACATCTCCTTGGTGGTAGTGCACTGCCGGGCATCGAAGACCTGCACGCAACACGGAGAAATCACACGCGTGCACAGACATTTCAGCTTCACGGCTACACTGATAAACCGCAAAAAACAAATCACCGTACAGTAGGCTATATAAATGTTTTTCCTGACTGCTTTATCAAACGCAAGCACGTTAGAATAAACAATCCAAAATGTTTCATTGACAGGTCGGTAGCCGACAGGAATGCACTTTAAGGTGTTGTGACTGCTGTGAGCTACACTACATAACTGCAATTGGAAGTTACGCCCTGGCAGAAGTGCACCTGTCGAAACCTAACGACGACCGGCTGAGACCTGCAGAAATCGCCGCTTCTGTACCTGCAGGTTGGCCCACTGGATCCTGCCGATGCACCTGGGCGCGTTCCGCCACGCCTGCTTCGCCGCAAACGCGAGCTCGTCGAAGGTCAGCTGGTAGGTGCCGGTTTTCTCAATCTCCATGGTGACCGCTTCCACGCGAGCCAGGTGGTCCTCCGTCCTTGGCCTGGCGGAATAAAGTCATGTCTGAAGTTACTCATGCGCCCTAGAACCTGCTGCGCCGTTTTAATGTTTCAGTGCAGGTGCACCAATATGGCTATATACTGTACACGTTTACTGCCCCTCACTGCAGACTCCTTCTCATTCTTCCACCGATTCGCTTATTTGTTCTCAAATTCAATATCAACCACACACAAGACTAACGCCCGATCAATGACTGTGACTGGTTAACCAAGAGCGTCCCTTTTACCAATGCCTGAGCATTGCCCGCTGTCCCGTATTTGTACAATTTCGTAAAGGCGAAAGATGAGCACGAACTTACTGTTTAAAAGACTGATAGTACTGGTTCACGAATTCAATAGCCTGGACCAGAATTTCGTCTGCTGGCACCGGCTTGTCTCGCGGCCCGCGAGACAGGCACTTGGGGTTCATGATGGACCCCTGACAGACGCTGGGTTTGCAGGGAAGGTGCTGAAATCGGGAAAGCAAAAGAACTTCAGTTCAATACTTTTTAACTCCCGCGTCTGCATACAGTATTTCCAACCTAAATCAAATAACTACTAAAGGAACTGTATGATATTTAATTACAGAGCCCATTACATCTGAGATTTTAAAGGTATTTTACCTTTAATAAAGTACCTGCTCCAAAAGGCATGTCTTTTATGAGGTGGGATACTTTAAAATGCTGTGTGCATTTCCGAACCTAGTTAATAACGTCCTAACCGTTTATATTGAAATATTGAAAAAAAAATGGTTTACCTTCGCGGATCTGTGGTGCAGAGTGTCCTGCAGACTGGAGCTGTCCTCGATGTTCTTGACTTTGATGAAGAACGGACACCGGGAACGAGCCGGGTTCTGAGCGCAGCTCCGAGGGGGCATCTGGGAAGGTGCGGGCATTACATTATTTACCTTTTCTACCTGAATTTCCGGGACAATTTGCGCCTTTTTCTCTTCTTCGATCTTTTGAAGGTCATCTTCGAAATGCCTGGAGGAACAAAGAAAGACGATAAACTAAGCAGTCGTTTCTGGAGTCAAGGAGACAAGGCGCGTCGTATTGTGCTATTAGGTTAGAAATTCATCAAAGTTATAAAAATAATATATGTACACCTGCTGACTTAACGCAGGAACAATGTAACGATAAATAACCCATTATACCCCTTTCTCTTGTCATTGAAAGAAAAATATATTAACATCGGTTAATAATAATAATAATAATAATAATAATAATAATAATAATAATAATAACAACGTTATAAACATACTTAGAATATTTAGCCCCAGCATCAAAGCTGTTGTTGTTGTTCAAGTCGATACTCCGAGAAGAGTTTTTGAAGTTCTTGAGTTTTTGAAAATAATTCCAAGAAAGCAGCATTTTCGTGTCTTTGTTTGTTCACACAGAATATAGATAATAACCTGGAAGAAACAAAAATACAAAATAACTCGATTGTCTCATTTGTAATGGAGACAGGCGGTTCTTTTCCAGCTTCTTATTTTACACCTGACTGTGGAGAAGCCTGACAAATTACTACAGAGAGAAAATTAAAGCCAGACTCAGGCCGTTGGTCACCAGGTCTGTATGCCTAGGTGCTCAACCAGAATAATTGCAGCAGGAGGTAAACACACTACAAAGGGGGAAAGCGCAGAACAAAATAATTTTGAAGAAAAGAGATGAGGCAAAAAACAAATGCCCATAATGATGCATGAATTCAATGCATCGGCTCTCTGCCTTCTCTCTCTCCGGCTCTCGGCACGACTCCCACCTGCTGCTCTGGAGTGCGCTCGTCCGAAGTGGCTGCAAGTGTTCGGCTGTTTCCCCCGATTACTGGTCCGGCACATCTCACTCGCCGCTTTATAGTGTGGAGACGGTCGGCTGAAACTGCAGGCGTGGTGACAAACGAGGAAAACCCCTCAATAAACTCTGACACTTCCTTGAGCAGACGAGGGAGGATGAAACAACCGGTGACTGTCAGAGCAGAAGTCTCGTCTTAGACGGGATGGGTAATATCTGGAGATTTCTGGAACCACACACAGGCGGTCTCTGGCACGCAACATTTGGCTAGGATGAACACATTATAGCTCGAATGAACACATTGTAGCTAGGATGAACACATTATAGCTAGGATGAACACATTGTGGCTAATATAAACACGCTATGGCTAGGATGAACACATTGTGGCCAATATAAACACTTTATGGTCAGGGTGAACACATTGCGGGAAGTATGAACACATTTTGACTAGGATGAACACTTTCTGATTATGCTGAACGAGTGCCTCTTACACCTAACGTTCCTAACTTATTGAACAATTACCGATCGTGGCGCGATCAAAACCTGCGCGCCGGTCGCTCTGACCGCCTCACTTTTGAACTGTGCAGCGGAAAAACACCGAAAGCAGCGCGACTCTGCAGCTCCGATTTCTCAAAGTTACAAGTTCTCGCAATACAATGTGATTTTCGTCAACGTACTTTTTTTTGTCATTTTATGTGATGATACAGTCCAATGCGCAACACTAAAGCACCGCTGTTCTATGTAATGTCTCATTTTTAGATTTCAAATCAAGCGATGCATTCCACATTTTTCTGGTCTTGTCTGTTACCTGCTCATAAATATTTCAATCTAATTTAATATAATATTTCACTTAATGTTTAAACTAAAGATAACTTGTTCCATATTTAATGTTTTAAATTATACTAAACTAAGATTATTATTAATAAGAAGAAGCACATAACACATGGATGTCACATGCAATTACATTTCACATAACCATTATAAATTGCATTTGCAAATCCATTATTTCTGATCTAGAAGCAGGCTCTGTTTATTTCTATCTTTTCTATATACCTAGTATACATGCATGCTGTGTAAAATAACAGTGACGATGACAACTGCCTGCGAAACACGTGTGTATTAATATTAAGTTCATCAATTGTATCAACGAAATAAAAAAATCTTAAAATCGCTGGTTACAAAAATTTAATAAAATTAAATTCACCTATTTATTAACAACCATTGGAAGGAATTATCATAGTATTTGTAGTGTGGGAACCACTGATCTGTTAAATCTCCTGATTTGAAAACTAATCCCTGGTCTGCAAAAGATTCTATTCTTCAAGTCAAAACAGTTTAATGCAGTTACAATACACCCTAATTACAGGATTACTGAAAAAGGAAGTTAAAAGAGAGAAGACTCATCCCTTAATCCGGAATACCGTACTTAGAAAGCGATACTGCGGTTAACAGACTGCTCAGGCCCATTAATAAGATTAATGAAATATTCGTAAGGCTGCAAAGGAACAAGAGAAGAAAGATCACACAACGTTTCGGCCGTGGGGCCTTCTTCAGGTGACATATTCTTAAGGTTGTCGATTTTGTACTATTTCTCTGTACTGGTTCAAGTCGTTTCATATTTCCAACAGTTGAAATAAAAGTCCTAGAAGTAAGATGCTCATTCGTTCTTTTCTCCACGCTAAAACATGGCAATGTCTTGCAAAATGAAAAGTTCAACACTCCATAGGCAGTGTTGTTATTTGATAAAATAATGTTATTTCCTTCTTTTCAGAATAAAATGAGGTCAACAGTGTGTTGGGGGGATAGTTAGAAGACCAAAAAAAAGCATTTAACCAGGAAAACAAAACTCAAATTCATTGGATCATTACAAAAACGACAATAAGAGGAAGTGTTATGAAATCATTTGTGCAACCATTTATCTGTTAAAATCTATTGGCTGAGCAGTTGAAAACCAGAAATATGCCAGAGTGCATTCACTTCTTCGGCTTTTCTTGTCAGCGCCTTTGTTGCGAACCTTTCCTTACAGGTACCTGAACAATGCGAAGTAAACAAACACTGCTAACATTAAGGAAGTCCTTCAAACGTTTTTGGTAAATTCATGTAAAAGATATGCGTAATGTCATCAATGCTCTTTTAGGGTTATATTACGCCGCACAATAGCGAAGTGGCGACCTGGCTTGCGGCTCTGGTATCAGCTACACTCCAGCCTCTGTAAATCAATTGTGGGCTTTCCAGTAAACGGCTTGAGCCTGCCTCTGTTGTCCTTTGTTTCGTGCGCTGTGGTTGCGCCACGCTGTCTTCAGCCAATAACTGCAGTTAATCCGCACAGAACGTGTCGGATTGATCTGAAAGATAGATTCACGATGTAGGCATCGCCCTCTGTCCCAAATGCACGCTTTTTAAAAAAAAATGCTGTCAGAAAACAACAGGAGCCCCTCTAGTTTTGAGCTCATGATTCCAACTGATCCTGGTGATACGGAGCGGAACATCCTTCTCGTGTTACGGTATTTATCAATCCCCGTCTCTTACACAAATGTGTCTGCCCTACTTCCACGTCTTCGGCTATTTCTCTCTTACTACCAAACCCAAAACCATCGCCATCACCTCCTCAGGGTCGGGTCGGGGACGGACTGACTTCAAGGGGACTCTACAACCGCCGAAATTCGAAATCTTTATTAATTTGCTCTCCTCCCCACTGAGAGCTGGTGTGTGGGGAGCGTACTGGTGCATCATCCAGGTGGGGCTGCACACTGCTGGTGGTGGAGGGGATCCCCATTTACCTGTAAAGCGCTTTGAGTGGAGTGTCCAGAAAAGTGCTATATAAGCGCAAGCAATTATTATTATTATAATGATTTTGATAGATTTCAAAATGAATCACCAGCAAGAGGGAAACTGAGAAAGTAAAAACAATACACACCTTTGAAAAAGGGCAGAGGGAGTTCTGTCGGATGATGAATAACATCTCAGTTATTTAATTGAGGTCCAATTAAAAGTTTAAATAGGGGGTGGCATTGCAAAGCCTGCCTAACTGAAAAAGGAAGTTAAAAGAGAGAAGACTCATCCCTTAATCCGGAATACCGTATTTAGAAAGCGATACTGCGGTTAACAGACTGCTCAGGCCCATTAATAAGATTAATGAAATATTCGTAAGGCTGCAAAGGAACAAGAGCCCCCCCGATATCCATCTGTCCATTTTCTAACATCTACTTCCAGTTCAGGGTAGCAGGAAGCCGGAGCCTAGCTCAGCGAGCAACAAGCGCAAGGCAGGGTACACCCTGGGAAGGACACCAGTCCACCACTGGGCACTCACCCTCGCACCAGGGCCCGTTTCCCCAAAAGACAATTCAACTGTATGTCTTTGGATGGTGGGAGGAAACCCAGGAACACAGAGGGAACATGCAAACTCCACACGGATAGTTCCCCTTGGCCAGAACTGGACCCAGGGCCCCAGCACTGCAGGGCAGCGATGCTGACCACTTCACTACTGTCCACCGATACTCAACACAAAACAATCCATCCTTTACTTTTTATCACATATTCCAAGGCATTTTTGTCCTAATTCTTTCCTTATTCTCTTTTTTTTCTGGGCTGCTTCCTTGACTCTGGTGGATACGATCTAGAAACAGGGCACAGCAGACTAATGGCTGATGTTTTTGATGACGCCCTGCGTGAAGATAGGAAGAGGGAGGGATCACAGAATGGTGGTGTTTCCTGTAAATTGTACAACATGATTCCTGGTACAGAAAAAAGGTGGGTTTATTACATAAAGCTTCTGCAGTGTCTCCCTCCCTTCTGTGTTTTTACTGAGGTGTAATGTTGACTTTAGCAAATGAATGATTAATATCTGGATCAACCACTGGCATAGTATCTCTTCATTTCAACTTTTATAACAAAATAAAAAAAAATCCTGTAAAAGTGATTGAGTCTGACATTATACTTTTACTTTCACTTGAACTGCCAATCTGTTTTGGTGTTTTTAACTTCAATTCATAGAATTACATTCTAGTGGGATTTCCACATTTTCGACAACTCTGATTCACACATCCCTGGGATTCTGCCAAGACAGCTATTGCCCAAGTTTGTACGTTTTCAAATTTCCCTTTTATTTTTTTGGGATCCAGGCTCTCGTTCAAATTGGTCTTAGCCTAGGGATGTTTTTGAAAGATGTGAGGGCACTGCTTTTTTTTCATTCATGTACTGTATGAGGTCATTCCTTGCCAGAGTAACAGCTGAATCCCATTTTCAAGGCAAGAACTGCAGAGCAAAAATAGCCCTTTGTTTTCCTTCTGTGTTAGTAAGCCTTACCTGCTTAAAGGTCACCCAGTTTCCAATCTTCCTACATGCTGGGACATTTCACTAGCTCAGATATGCTTTAATCTGAGATTCAAAAATAATCTACAAATTGTTAACAAGGAAATTGTGGCAGTTATGTAATAATAGTTACAGAAATAATTATTGGGATTTCTAAAACACCTGTCCTGAAGCATTCCAAAGCACTTTACACATACCGTAGCAGGTGGTGACTGAGTTCATCAGCGCTGCAGTGCAGGCCCTCCTGGGAGACATGAGGTAGCCTTTCGGCAGCCCCAGTACACAGCAGATCAGGTGCAGAAAAGGGGAAACTTGCTTCATTTGGCAAAAGAAGAGGGAGCTTTGGGGAGGCCAGAATGTGCAAGCCCAGGGTGGAGCCGAACCAGGAAACCTGTGTTAACACCCTCATGCTCACAAGCAGTGCCATCGCATCTTTAATGTGCATGCAGTCAAGATCTCAGTGTACCGTCTCCTCCAGTGGACAGTATGTCTTACAGTTTAGAAATTCCGGCCTAGAGAGAAGAAGAGCACCACCTACAGGTCCACCAAAGCAACATAGTGTCCCTTAGAAGCCTCTATACTGGTACTGAACAGGCTTATATATATATTGAGTGACATGTCCATAATGTACATTCCACACCTCCACACCATCAACTGGAAAACTGGGCTTCTTAGTTCCTAGTTCCCTGGGACCTTTGTCTCTGGCCGTGTTTGTTAGATCCTCATTCCTGTAACCAAAGTATTAATTAGACATTTTCAGGATTTGTCCAGTTCTAAACCTGTTAATTCTTCTCTAACTTGGCCTATAGCCATGCACTGAGCTAATGAGTGAGCCTTTGAGGCAAGCCATAGGGTTTTCTGTAAATGAAAGCTCACGGAACTGTTTCATTTGAAAATTTCCACTTCATCATTCTTCGGACTGCAGGAGCGGAGAACCAGCGCAAATAAAGAAGTAGCCAAAAAAAACAGTGGCTTTCCTCCAAAAAGACGGCATTCTTGCTATTGACATTGTCAGGTGGTAATTCATTTTTTCCATTTACCTGTAAGCATAACTGTGCTCAACTCATTGCACTTGCACATATCCTCTTTACCACAGTAACCCAATAACATCCAAGCCTGGCCACACAAGCACAGTCCTCTGCCTCAAACTGTAATGTAATACACACGAGACACAATAGTGTCCTATTTTCATAAAGCAATCATTTGGAAAATGTATTTTCACATAGACTTCAGTGAATGCAAAAAAAATGCCAGTGTAAATTCGCTGATGAGCAATGAAGAACGCCTGATCTCTGTGACTGTCAATGAAACCAAGTGTCTGGTTTATACTAACTGCTTTGGGTGGTCAGACATCTTCTTGTCTGTGCGGCCACACTGGTCACAACTGGCCCGGGAATAATCCCTGTGCAGCATGTGAGACAGAGAGGATATACTGTAGACACAGCAGTGTAAACATCATTCACTAGCAACGACAACACCCAAGATCAAAGCGCGATTAACTATTATGGAGCGGATATTGGCTTTCGATATTGCTTGGCTGAGGGCTGACCTCCTGGCTATAGGACAAGGAGGCCAGGATGCCCCCTGCAGGGTGACCGAGGGGCAGCTGCAGAGGGGGAGATGGGGTGGAGGTGGGGATGCAAAAGACGTTCGCGAGGGAGAGATGGGGATCACGTTTGTATTTATAGCGTTTTGGGAGAGGAATGGATTGTCAGAAGCGATAGCTAATTACTGACGGCTGAGTCCGATTGCACTTGGTTGTTGTCATCCCTCCCGAACCTTCGTTATAAACTCCATCACAATTTCACTTAGGAGTGCTTGTCGATAAACACCAGCTCCTGATATCAGGGCCGTTTGATTAGTGAGGTGCTTCTTGTTTTGTACATTGTTGAACAGCCGGATGGCAGGCTTTGTACCTCCATGGGGAGAGCGGTCCAGCACAACAGTCTTTAGGCAACTGACAGCTGGCGACTGGAAATCTTTCGGACACCTAGAGAATTCAGCTATATCCCATTGTGCGTGGACACAGCCTGCATCAACATCTGCCCTCCAATTGTAAATAAAACCTGGAGCTCATGAGCTACAACGATGTCCCATAATCAGATGCTTTGTGAATGTTGGAGCATTTAAGTTTAATCGGTTTTGGCTTAACCAGCTTGGGGAGTTAAGGGGTAGCCTCCTGGCCGTAGGATGTGGAGGTTTGATCCCCCATTCAGAGAGTGTAGCTGTAAAGGTGGAGAGGAGATAAATGCAAAAACTGTGAGAACGGGTGTGTGCGAGAGTTACATATACTGTATAGCAAACGTCGGTCATGAGGGGGATGTAGAACAGCCAGGTGAGAATAGCTCGGCTGTTATTACCTCTCCAAATCGTCAGTTATGAACTTCCATTTAGTGAACTGAGGCCATGAAGAACACAGAATACCTGCTATATTTATGTACTGTGTTATGTTATGTCCTATGTTTTTCCACTCATGACAAAACATTGATTTTTCTAACCACACAGCCAGGGGAAAACTCAACTGGATGAGCAGCTTTCTAATCTTAGCTGGGAGGACATCGAGAAACAAAGAATGGACTGAAGAATTTGACTGGTTAGTCATTTTTTTTTAATTGTGTTCTATTAAATGAGGTGTGTTACCACCTCGTTTCCGAAAAGAGCTAGCCAGTTCGGTGGCCTGCAGTTGCCACATTTCCACAATAAAGTGGATAAAAAATGAGTCATTATTCTAGCTCTTCTCGCATTCAGGAGGAAATGTTCCCTCACAACCTTTGATGAATGGAGATCCTTCACAGTCCTACACAGTATAGTAATATATAGCAAAGTATTGTTACTCTATACTTTACTCCAGCAAAGAGTTCACACGATTTTAGTCTCGAGAGACAGGGATTAGAAACCAATAGGTCATTGGTTTAGAAAATGTTGATTTAAATATGTTGAGCCTAATTTTCAGAAAGTCAGCATTGCAGGACAGCTCCGTCACTCAACACACTTCGGGCAAACAACATTTAAGACGTTCACAATGACCTGAAGTTTCATTTTTTGCTTTTATTTTTGGCTTCACCCCCATCTGTTGACAAGCCCCTCTTTGTTCTTCAGCCGAGACATGACTGAGCCCAGTACTGTTTAGTATCTGCCGAGCCCAATCCGACACTTTGAAAAGCATCGAAACACGAGGAAGGATACCAACACATCAAAAAAGACCAAACCTGGAACAAGGACACAATCTGTAAATAGTGACTTATGGTTTAACAATATTTAACCCATAAGCCATATATCTACATTCTAATGCTAGCCTGATTATCTTAGATCTTAGATCTCCCAATTATACGCAGCATTAATTTCCTGGATGCCTCCTAGGTAGAATTCACCAAAAGAAGAAACACCTATTATGTTTTTCCTGCAAAACCAGATATGTGTGGAAACACACCTGACTCATCAGGCTCTTGAGTGTGAGGCAGCCTGTGAAGGTGCTGTTCACACTGAGATAAATTCAGGCTAGGCAGTGGGAGTGGGACATTTCTGTCTATAAGGGAATATGGGAGAGGAGTACACATTTAAAAAAACAGATAAGACAATTTTTCCAATCCTTGATTTCAAAATAAAATAAAGTAACCTTTTATCTTTCATTTACTTTTTGGTCTATACAGATGGGCAAGCTGATGTTTTCAAATAAAACAAAAGGTTTATTTTTTCTTCTGGTTTATTCTCGAGATAGTGATGAAATAAATCTGTTAACTAAATGTTTCTTAACCTACCACGAGTACTTAATTTATTGCATGTTAAAAGATATAAATCCCCACTAATTGCTTAATACAAACTATTTAGCTGTGAGCTGTCAGGGAATCCTGATGGCTCACACAATGTGCTTCTGACGTGTAGGCTTGAATTTTCTGACGTGAATTTTCTGATAGGTGTAAGAATGCATTAAAAGAAACACATCTGACAAGCAAAGAACAAAAAGTTCAAATGTAGATGTTATGCAACCTTCCAAGAAATTACAAGAAAAACTCAAAGCCTCTGTAGGAAATTCAAGTATTTGTAGGAGAAGTGCATTCAAATCACGATGAAAAATATAAACACTGTGACACAGGGATTTTAGAATGTGTTGATTTGTAGTCTTTATAACTGTTCTTATGTTCTGATATTCTTACTCAAGGGACTGGATATAATTGTGAAAGAACAGGTATACCTAGTACCACAAGCTACACCAGTAATTAACTTAATGTCACACAAGAATTTCATGTTTATTACTGTACAACATGCAGAAAGCAACACCATTAACACTCATTAACAAATGTTTGGCCACCTGTGTTCTCCATCATCAGCATTGCTGTGTTCATCTCCACAGACCAAAGCAGACTCCAAGAGACGTTTCTGGTTTGCTAGCTGCTTCTCATGCCCTGCTGAGCCCCGGGAGACGAGGCAACAGAGGGGGGCCCAGACGGTACCAAGGGTCTCAGAGTGATGGCCTGTCTCACCCCAACCCCTCCCGTTCCGGTCCGGTCCGGTCACCGGACTCCTGAAGACAAGCTCGGCACAGCTCCTCCAATCCCCCCCCTCGGGTCCAAACACAGAACCAGGTACTGTCTCCTCTTCTTCTCTTCTGGGCTCCGTTTACTTCTTGTACTGCAGAACAAGCAAGACAGCAGACTGACAAGCCATTTCTGGTTACATACAATGGCAGCGAACAACAGCAGCAGAGCTCATCTTGACCTCATCAATTCCAAAAGCACGAACCCCAGTGGCTCTGCTCAGACAGAAAGCTCCATCACAAGCCTAGTTTTTTTATGCTGAATCCTTTTTTCCCCCACTGGCTTCTCCCAGCTACAGTCCGGCTGGCTTTACCCCTTGGGTTACAAAGTGTGCTTCTGTTCATTTCTAACAAGCTTTTCTCCGGCAACTCGAGTCACATTATTTCAAACCCACTACAACTTGTTCAGAACGCTGCTGTCAGAATTTTAACAACCCCTGTACTGGCACACCTCCACTGGTCAAAAAAATTATGAAGTTTAAAATCCTGCATATAGATCTTTACGTGTCTGTAGACCCACAAACCTGAAAAAACCTCTAAAAATCCTGTTTATCTCCTAATAGCCTCTTAAGTCAAAGAATGTAGCCCTGCCTAGTAGCCCAAGGGTACAGAGGAGACGAGCAGGTAACCATGAACCCCTAACCTGTAATTTTCCTTTTCTTAGGCTCCTTCTATTGCCAAATTTGAAAGGCAAGTTAAAAAGTGTACTTTCAGAACACAATGTGTGATTAGCATACTCTAGTGATAATAAGTATATAAATACTGTATGTTTTGCTTTTACTTTGAGGCAATTCTTTTTTTAAAATAGAATACCCTGCCAGACCAGTGACTCTGGGTGCACATACGCAGCATTTGACTCACGCTAAGACCTACTACCTAGTAACCATAATTGGATTTCAATTGTCCCAATTTCACTGCAGATAAATGGTGCAGGTGCACACCAGAGATTCTCAGAACTTTCTCCATTGTTTCCCACACCCACATTGTAACACGGAGACTCGGAGTACAGGCAGTCCTCCAGACGTGCTCCGACTAGTGCTGTCTTAGCATAATGTACTGATTTGCGTTGTCTGCCCTTTTGTGTCTTAGCATTGCCCAGTGGAAACAGAGAAGGGGTGCCCTGAACCACTGCTGCAGGACACGCGGGCTAGGATGGCACCTACTTTGTCCATAACCCAGTCGGCGTCCACGATCGCCCGTCGGATGATCTGCTGGATCCTCTCGGGATCATCTTCATCTGCATGAGAGGCGAAGCTCTGTAAACACAGGACATTGTAACACGTAAGGAGGCCATCTGCCCACCCCATCTTTCCATCTGGTTGCTGGTATTATTGATCCAAGGACAAGGCCTTTGAAAGATCTATTGGACTTTTGTGTGTTTTGAGATTGGGACTAGACTGACTCTTCCAAACACCCTCAACTCATAAATCCCTAAAACCTACACTCTTATTTTCTATCCATGATAGGTCTTCACAACACAGTACAGCGTCACACCAGTGCGACTGTCAGAGGAGTTTGTATAGCATACCACTGTGCAACATTAATCTCTAAAAGATCAAACCTGAGGACAAAGGAAAAGCCTGATTTACAGGTGGCAGTAGTTTGATAAAAAAACAGAATGCCAGGCAGTTTTTGTATCTCTAGTGCTGAAGATCCTGCAAGCAAAAACTGTTTCCCAGCACAGCTGTACAGAGACAGGAAGGAGGTATAAGATGATCTGGACTTATTTGGCAGAGCCAAGCTTAGCATGGTTCTGCATTAAATCTACTATGAACAGCTGGAAAACCATAATGGGAAGAAAGCTGTTTTTTGCATCTGTTAGTAAGGAATGCACTCATGTAAAGTAACTGCACTTGTGTAACTGGTATGTATGGTAATTATGAAGTATGATGTCTGGGAAGATGTAGTTTTTTTGGCTCAGTTTTTCCCTGTGGTATTGTTCAGACTGAGAATGAAAGTGAAGCCATAGATATTATGTATACTAAATTATAAATGTGTGCGCTTACTGGAAGCTGGTTATACTCAAACCAAATTCTTTTACCTTCCAAGTGCAGTGTTAAATAACACATCCTATATGTGTATATCCTATACTGTATCCTTATATTGCACGACTTATCATTGCAATTCCTATGCCTTGGGTTATTATTTACTTTTATTTCAACTTCTAAAAGGTGTTTTCCAAGCCTAGTGTTTGAAGGCTTTATATTGTTTTATTTAACAAAATAAAACGTTATCAGAAAGCATTTCACATCCAGTAAGAGTCACGATAACCTAATCTCTTTCCTGGAATCGCAAGTCACATGAGGATCACAATCACTCCTCAATAGGGCACAAGGACACAGGCGTGATTTACGTTGAACTTAGAAAAGGCCCCTACAAACTCAGGTGAAACATGCAAACTTCACACACAAGGCCCTTCAGGAACCCAGAGTCCAGAATCAAACTTGGGTGTCCAGAGCTGTGAGGCCAGTCTAAAGGATGGTGAAATAAAAAAAAATCTAGCAGTATTTTACATATGCGCCTTTTTCTTTCCTGCCTTTAATTTACAGTCACCCATAAGGTGAATTTTCTTAATTTAGATAAAACCCTTCATTCGCACAGTCTCTGCGCAGGAAGTCAGGAATACGCATCAGCTGTTCAGGCTGATCTGGACCGCAGAAGCTTCTCGAAAAAAATATTATGCAATTCCTGATATTCCACACGATGAATATTTTTTAGTTTTAGTTTAGTTTAGTTTAGTTTACACGCAACACGCGAGGCCCCTGCCGCGTCAAATTCCGGGTGACAGCCCTACCCTGAGACTGGCACACCTGCGTTCATATCATCATCACAGTGTCAGGGGGAAAGGGTTGGCTTGAACTGAGGATAAGCTGTTAGTCTTAATTAGCAGCGATGAAGACCACGTTACCTGTCTCACGGCATGTCTGTAGTGTTTCTGCGCGGCCGCGGAGGGCAGGACTTTGCAACACCTGAGCAGGTAGCGATACAGCCGTACCGGGGTCCGCACCATCTCAGCGCCGGCCAAAGGACTCATGATCCGTCAGCACCTAGACGCAGCTACGTTAAAATACAAAAAATAAATAAAAGTCAAACAAGCCGAGTTTGAAAGCAAGTGACCACGATTTACTTATTGCCCCCTTATTGAAGTTTTGACCACGCACTTCAGTGATTAATGTGCCCTACGTTGTGCGCATCGTCACTCAAGTGATATTGTCGCAAAGGCCCAGTTATCTAAACGTATAAAATTTTAGCAAAAAACACGAAGGAAGAGTCACCTTGCGCTGGCCACAGGCGAGTCTCAACAGTCTAACCGCGTTAGTGATACTAGATTTTAAAAACCCTCTCTTAATACGAAGATATCCACACGATAGTCACTCACTATAAATAAAAACACATTAAAGAGTTACGTACAAGTCAGCATGAGCAACCCTGCTTTTATTGTATATAAACTAAATCCAGCCCAAATGACATTCCCTAAAATACAACACAAAGGTGCAACCCTAAAGCTCCACTGAAGGAAACGGAGAAAACTTTAAATTAAAGTTCCGGGGGTACATCCGGTAGATGTTTCCTTAGGGCTGCCGGTTATCTTTTTTCACGTCTGCAGACCTCACGACTGGAATTAAAGTAAAAGTATAAAACAGAGTCATCCTTCATGTAATAACTCTACAGGTCAAACTAAACTGAGGGCACTGCGTGATCCTTAAGGACTGAGATTGCTTTTATTTAATAAAACCCGCCCCAATGACGGGCTCATTAACGAAGGGCACCTCGATGCAGACCCTCTCTTCACAGTTGACCAGGACCAACAGGGAAAGCGACTTTCCGTCGCTTGGCTCCGGCTTTGCCTTTCCAGTTATATTTTGTCGTTTTAAAACCTTTTGAGTAACCAAGCCTATCCAAACAGACCCAAGCGGTTGCCTGGCAAGTGTTTGTATCAGTCCCAGAAAGTGGATGTGGTGTCCGGCCTGAGCACAATGAATATTTTATTTCTTTTTGCTGTAAACCCACCAGTGCTATGCAAGAAATAACCTGTCTATAGCCTGCCGTTGTGTGAGACAGGATACTACTCTAGTATGGATTTATGTCAGAATTCTGAAATACATGTATACCTGAGACAGGATTAAAACAGATCTTTATGATGTGTCATATTAGAAATATTTCCTCAATTAAAAATAACATATAATCCAGTGAGTAGAATAGCGATCATAAACCATAATGATCTAACCATAAAAATATTTTCGGTATAATAAAATGTGTGTATTATGTATACTTAACCAAGCTTCAGCAGAACAATCACAATACCTCCTGTGGAAACACTAAATCTGAGATTCACATTGGTGTCTGCTCGTTGGGGGAGAATTAAACCCCAGTAAGGTCCAATACATCTTGTTGCATCAGACGGGATGAGCTCTAATTGAACATGAGACAAAAAGGGTTCAAATTAATTTTCACGGAACAGGATTTCTTTACTTTCAGTATGAGTGGCGGCAACAGTTATTAAACATCTTCCAAACCGCCGCTGTCATGTTACTCCCAGATCACTTACCTCACAGAGCCTGTTTTGCTTTTCCTCTATGTCAACATCATGCTGGGCCAGCTCTTGTGTCACATGTTTAACTAAAGTTTATATACGTCAGAGCTATGCCAAGGTATTTCACAAACTGGGAACTTGAAGAACGCATCTCCATTATTACATAAACCCAGGATCTATATTTGCATTTGTGTTCTGCTTGTAGAATTGATTTCCCAGCCAACATCTCTCCCCCCCAAAAAAAACCTCAGAGATGAATAAGGAAACAGATATTCTTAGCAGCGAGGGCTCTCCGAGGAATACCAAAAATGTTTCCTGCTTTACGATTTACTGAAGTGTTCACTTCCTCCGCAGGCTCACGCTGTATGTTACAGTGGTGTGCACTGGGAGTTCTCAAGTGACCAAGTGCTTGGTATCTGCTTAACAGGTATAAACGGATACCGAACACCACAACAGGACAATGAGCTATCCGGTGACTCTGGTGTCCCGTGATAGTTTCACAGGGTTATCTTTCTTTTCTGTAAATGTGCCGAGCACGGCTCTCCCTGCACATTATTCCATTTCAGATTTCCGAGGTGGGGCGACATCACCTCTGTAGCTCACTCAGTGCGCTGACCCTGTTACATGATATGCACTGTGTAGAGTATGTTTTGGTGTTCACCTGGCTGGGCACCTCAGAACCTGTTTGAGCTAATATCATCCTCCTCCCCACCTCGCAACCTTCGCTCTTCTAATTATGGTCTCCTCTCTGTCCCCCAAGCCCATCTACGCACTATGGGTGATAGTGCCTTCTCCTGTTCTGCCCCAGAGCTCTGGAACTCTATCCCTGAGGATATCAGAAGGTCACCTTCGCTAAACTCTTTCAGATCTAGGCTCAAACCCTTCTTCTTTAGAAGGACCTATACTTAACTACCTAACTTGTTCTGTTATTTACCCCTTTGCTGTATTCAGTATCTCCATCTACTGTCTCCTCTCATTGTGTATTTTCATTGTGCATGCCTTGCTGTTGTTCTGTAAAGTGCTATGAGAAGCCACCTTTATAGGTGCTATATAAAGTACAGTTTATATTATTATTATTATTATTATTATTATTATTATTATTATTATTATTATTATTATTATGTGTAACGTAGTTGATGGAGCCCCTGGCTGTTTAAGTTACATGGACAAATCACACACACAGGCTAAGTTGTCATTTTCTGCCTCTATATGAAGTACAAGATGCTGAGCAACATTCCAGCTGTGCCTTCCTCCTTGCAGATCCTGTCCACTGAGCACCTAGTGCCTATAGCTAATGAGTTTTACTTCCACATATTTTTCTGTTCCATCATACAGGAATGCACAGGTGGACACGGGACTATCTCATGCTGAAACCCTTTGTCTCCACTCTCAGATGTTATGCAATTCTGCCCACGGAGAGAGAGCAATTTTTAATGTGCACATTTATAAACCTCTTTTTTTTTGCCTTTCTGGAATTGTGGTGAGCAAACAGAAAGGGCCCTGTAAAAGGTTTTCAGAGCACTCTAATAATTTGTTATCGTTGGTGATGATGTCCAAAAATCCTGTCTGTCGACACACACCCACTGTATTGAGCAAGGAGCAGTCAGCTGGCTTCACAAGGCCCCAAAACAAACCTCTTATTTCACCGCAGTACAGGTCTTTGCTGTGCAAAGGACAAATTGCCTCTTTGTTGGTGAATGGAAAACTGTGATGACATCGATATACAGTACGCATTGGTTCACACCAAGGAGTTTCCCTGTTCTGCATTCCACACTCGTGAGTAAAATCCGTCTGTCAGCTCTGACCTTGATTCAATTCCCAAGCAACTCATACAGGGCCTTTTATTTTAAAAGAGAAATGAAAGTTCAAATTAAAAATCAAAGATTGACTTTATCTGAGTGTGTCTCTCCCCTATCGCAGGCTGCATCTTTCACCTTCTTGTGTCTGTAGCACAAAGCCATCAACCCTCTATCTCCCAAGCCTGCCTCTAATGTTAACCGCAACCACAGGGCTCTAGCCTTAACCCCTTCGTCCTTTAAACTCATGACTACCCCCACTCCTGACCCACCAACCCAAACCTCAACTCCAGTGACAACACCTTCTCCTGATATGACAACCATTATGTGTAAATCAAGTTTATTAATGGACTAGAGGATTGCCAATCCAATATCCATCTATACAAAGTGCACAAACCTGAACCAAGTAATTATAGACCAGGTCTATACTGCCTCATATTGCAGACAGGATTGAGGCAACAATAATTACATCTAAACTAGAGGATCTTCTTTATATGACAATATGATTCTAGGGCATAGCCAGCAGGGATTTAGACAAGGAAGGTCTTGCTTTTGAACAAACAACAGCAGCAATGGTTACAAAGAGGGAATATGCTATATTTAGATTGCTCATTTGAATATGATCAAATAGAACTGCTAAATTTAGTCTGACGCTGTTACATCAGAGCACAATATGGAGCTGTGTTAGAATCACTACCCTTCCTACATTTGACAAAAAAAAAAATCTAGATTCTTGAGCTGCCAGGAAATGAGTGAACCAAATCAGTTGCAAGTAAGTGTCATTTCCAGGTACAGAGGATATTCCAGGACAGGCTGCGCCTACCTGTCCTGGAATGCTGGACATTGGTGGTGGTGGAGAGGATCCCCATTACCTGTAAAGCGCTTTGAGTGGAGTGTCCAGAAAAAGCGCTATATAAGTGTAAGCAATTATTAATTATTATTATTACCAGGCAGCTGAATGTAATAATGTTCTGGGCTCTGCAACAAAGGGCTGTGGGTTCGAATCCTGGCTGAGACTCTGCTGTTGCTCTCTTGAGCGAGGCGCTCCTCTCAGGTCGTTCGGACTTACTCCAGAGAGTCAGTGCCTTCCATTCATTTTCTACGCCCATCCTGGCAAGCAACAGGCACAAGGCAGGCTACACCCTGGACGGGACGTCAGTCCATTGTAGGGCTGACAGACCACGAACACAGATAATTAGAGTGCTCTGAAAACCAGGGCCCATTTCCCCCAGAAGCCAATTAACCCACCAGTATTTTTATGGACTTTGGAAGGACATTGGAGAAACTGTAGGAAACCCATGTGAATGCTAGGAGAACATACAAACTCCACACAGATAGCTCCCCGGCCAGGTCTGGCGTTGAACCCAGGACCCTAGCGCTGCAGGGCAGCAATGCTAACAACGGTGCCACTGTGTATAATTGGGTCTCCAGCACATCATTCATCCATCCACTTTCTAAACAGCTTCACCCAGTACAGGGGGGGGGGGGTGGAGCCCAGGAGATAGGTGTCAATTCTAAAATTAATTTTTGATCTCCAAGTGAAATAATGGAGCAAAAGATGAATGATGATGAATGTTTCCTATGTTTGTTTCCTTTGAAATGCAATTCTGTGATGAGATCACCGTCCTGCGTGATTGCGTGAAGCGGACAGACACTTGTGGGACGTGTCTGGCGAGCCGTGAGACTGGCAGGGGTTATGCAGTCCAGCACGGAGCGAGGTCAATGCGTCCGTTTCGATTAAAGCGTGTTCGCCCAACTCGGGAAACAGCGTCACCCAGTGGCCACCGGCAATATTTTTCTACATTTCTTAAAGTCAAACTGCTGACTATGGACTGCGGCGACATAATTCATTAACCTTTTCTGAACAAAAAAATGCTCACAAAATAGCGGATGTGGATTATACATTTCTGGAAGATAACTGTAAAATTAAAGTGTTCAAAAGTTATTATTTTTATTCTCACTGCAATGACTTGTTAAAATGTTATTTTGAATACGAATATTCAAAACATAATCGCTCATTTACCCAGCTTGTACAGTATTTACATTTCAGTTTGTAAATACAGATGGCACCACATCTCCTACTATCATTGCGGCTACAAACAATTTCAGAATTGCATTTGTCACCGTTTTACGCCAGGGTCTGTTCTACCCGCCTTGTGTGACAGAGCTGCTCATGGGTGGGTACAGGCTGCCGCGCTAATCCGTTTAGCTGTGATGAAGCGCAAGGCATCCGAGAGACTCCGCGTCGTGGTCACGCCAGCGCGCCTGGTAGCAAATCGGCAGTCCGGTGATGGATTACTGCAGCTGAAATGAAGAATAAAGAAGGATGAAACCGCTAGGTGGCAGGAGAAATCTCCATCTGGTAGGTAGGAGATTTCAAGCTGTCGTTCGAGGTTCATGGGACACAAACTACTGATTCATATGGAACAAATGTTGCGATTCCCAAGAGCTGTTTGAGTAAACTTTCATTTCATCAGAGGAACATCCTCCTTGTTTGCCATTGCTTTTGGGGGAACCAGCATACATACCGGAGAATCAGAAAGACCGAGAGAAAGATCCATTTTCTATCCACTTTATCCAGTTCAAGGTTGCAGGGGAGTCCGAGCCTGTCCCAGCACACAGCGGTAAGTTGTAAGCAGTTGTTACAACCTTGACGGGACACCAGTCCGTCACAGGGCACACACAGCGACACAAGCACTTACACCAATTAACCTGCCAGTGTGTCTTCAGAGTGGGGGAGGAAACCGGAGCGCCCAGAGAAAAACTCACCCAAGCACAGTGTGAACGTACAGACTCCACACAGACAGCCCCCCAGGTCAGGAATTGAACCCACAGCCCCAGCTCTGCCAGGCAGCACGCTAACACTGTGCCACCACGATGCCCCCCACCTTCAAACTTATTGGTTTCTATTTTTCTTCAGTCCCACTGTCAGCACTGGCTGTACTGGAAGCTAAGCAAACACCCCAAGACAAGAGCTGAAAGAGCTGCTTTGATTATACAGACCGGGAGGCGTTTGACCAGACTGACATCCTCACCTCCTGTTGGAGGTAGGTTATTTTATTGTTGTTTTAGACACTTTATCAGCTAATCGTCTGTTTATAACCTTATGATACTGTAGGGAGTTCTGACCGAGCAATGTTGTTAAATGTGTTCTGTATCATGGTATTGTACTGTTGCTGTATTGTATTATTGTCATATATGTTATATGTTATGAGCTCTTGATGGGCAAGACAAGTGCCCCTAGGGGCTATAAAGGTTAATAAAGGTTAATTCAAGTCTGAAATTCCCCCCCTCTCCCACTTGCCGCCTGCAGAAAGGGTAGACCAAAGATCAAATGTACAAAAATAATGTACCTGATACAAAAAAGAAATTATCGGTAAACACTACACATTTTAACAGTGTTTCACTTCAAAAGGTTCCCAACTGGTAGAACAGGGAAAATAATTACATGCTGAAATGAATTGAATGTTTCCTATAAGAGTGTTCTGACGCAGTGTTGCTAGGATGCAGCGGATTTCAAATATAGCCTCGTTAAATAAGGCTACGTACGACAGCCCACGTGGGGGTTTACAACTTTTGAACTTTAATTTTTTCGCTTTTCATAAAATATGCAAGACTTGGCGTCACATTAATTAGATTGGGCCCCGATGTTTACAGGGAAATGACTGGAAGCTGATTTCTAAAAACTCCTGGACTGACGTTTCTGAAAGCACTGGACTGTCTCTTCAGTTCCTGCTTTGAAACTACCAGCGGGCAGGAAAGGCTTAAGTTTTTAGAGTTACCTGTAAACCTTCATGAGTGACATATTCGCACTAAATAAATACTGGCTAACTCCCATTTCAACCTCTAGCAGGATACTTATTACCTGTTGAAACCAATGACACAGGTCAGTTCTGCATGTTTTATAAACAATGTTGTATTGCCATGCATCACTCATTTACGAGCACTGAGCAAGCTGTGATTCAGTAATAAAGTACATATTCATGGCATCCAGATTATCTTTAACGTTTTGCTCTTAGGTTACAGCTCAGATGGGACCACATCTCCTGTATCATTGTATCATTGTTGCAACAGACTAAAGTAATTTAGCCAAGAACCTAATTTTCTTTGCAACGAAAACACACACAAACAATGCCAAGCCATGAAAACGAATGTGATATGAGGTAGAGAAACCACAGGTGTGCGTCAGCAGGTGCTACACCACTCTCCCCACCCTTGAAAGAATGACAGCAAATGACAGATTCTTAATGTTGCAATAAGTAAATAAATATTTGAACCATATAACCCCACGTAATTAAAGAAAAGCTACAGACCATACCTAATCAAAATAATTTAGGAATGTGTGTGTTTGTATGATAGAAGATGAAAGATAGATCTTTTGATCCCGTGAGGGAAATTGCAATGCAACAGCAGCTTAACACAGACAACACAGACATAGTGTAACAAATGATACAATCATAATAATACAATACAATCAGTACAGTGAGAAGTACACAAAGAAGAGTTACTCACAGTCCAGAACACACAAAGAACAAACCAGAACAGAACAGCACACAAAAAAGTTGTATTGCACAATATAAATATAAATATATATATGTTTATATTGGCATATATTGCACAAAAACGGTTGTAAACAGAAAAAGAACAGATGTATCAGTTTACTGTTCAGTCCAGAAACAGGTCACTGTCAGTGTTGCCTCTGCCCAGACGCAAGGTGGATGTGGTGTACAGTCTTATGGCAGAAGGCAAGAATGACCTCCTGTTGCTCCCTGTCGCACCGTGGACAGATCAGTCTATTGCTGAACGTGCTCTTCATTTCTACAAGCATGTCAAGATCACTCAGGAAGTAGCCACAGAATCTTTAAACAAAGTGTTATAATAATAACTCTTTACACTTGTATAGCACTTTCCTGGACACTCCATTCAAAGCACTTTACTCTTTTCAAGAAACACCCTAGGACTTTTAGTGACCACAGAGAGTCAGGACCTCAGTTTTACATCTCATTCGAAGGACAGCGCCTGTTTTACAGTATAGTGTCCCCATCACTACACTGGGGCATTAGGACCCACACAGACTGCAGGGTGAGCACCACCTGCTGGCTCCTCTAACACCTCTTCCAGCAGCACCCTTAGCTTTCCCAGGAGGTCTCCCATCCAGGTACTGACCAGGCTCACACCTGTGAGCAGTGGAAGCTTTGAGCCACAAGGTGATAGAGCTGCTGGCTGGTTTTGCAATTTTCTCGTGTGGATAAGGAGAAACAAACGACAATGTAGAAGCAGAGACTAAAATGTGATGAATCGGGCTTCATGTAGCTCTTTGATGACTGAAGAGTCAAACACAGATGGTAATGGACTCTTAGTCATGGTTAATACAGTAAAAAACTTCAGGGGATCGGCTTGATAACTTACCAGGATATATCCAGCTGTAACATGGTATTTTTGGCCAGGTGAATTATTGTACTATATAAAGAAAAACAATGGTATAACATTAAATTACAGCGATAGGTTTTCAGGAGCACACCCTCCAAGCAGGTTGTCCCGCCCAAAGCGCCTCTGCAATGTCTGCTGCCCCCTTCTGGCGAACTGGGTTCAGTGCCGTTGAACGGGGCTGGTGCTACACTCCTGCGTCGTCGTCTCCCGCAGCGACAGTCTTCCTTCTTAATCAAATATTTATTCCCTGGCCTTTCCCCCCCAGCTGTGCGCTGTCCCAAGCGTGCTCCCGGCAGACAGAGCAGTGAGGGAGATTACCTGTCACTCTCGCCTGCATTCTTAAAACTTAACTCACTTAACACTTTCCTGTCTCCTTTGACGCGGGTCTCAACCACCCCCCTGCTGGTGACAAGTGAAGTGACGTATTTGTTCTAGCCCGCTCGACCTATGCAAATGATTCTGCTGTATGTGGCAAATGTGCATATGGATCTCATGTCACTTAAAAAAAAACAGAAGGACTTTGGCTTTTCAAGTCCATGATAGTGTATGTGTAGTGTGTATCCCTTTTAATAGGGGTTATTGACATTTATACAGCATAATGCAGCTAATAATAATATCCTTATAATAATAT